TATATATGTATATATATATATAATACCACATTTTATGTATACACACATACTCGAGAATATTATTCAGCCTTAAAAAAGAGTGAAATTCTGATATATGCTACAGCATAAATATATGAGCCTTGAAAATGTTATGTAAATGAAATGAGCTAGACACAAAAGGACACATATTGTATGATTCTACTTATATGAGGGGCTTAGAGCAGAGGAAATGGGGAGTTATTATTTAATGGGTACAGAGTTTCTGTTTAGTATGATGAAAAAGTAGAGCAAGGATCCCTTGGCTTTGAAGAAAAATATCACCCTCTCTCAGCAGGAAGCAGTTGCAAAAGAGACCCTGCACCCCTTTTCTCAGAAAGATTTCAGAGCCAAGATCCTTGAGGGAGATTATTGTAGGCCAAACATGTTAAACTAGCGTCCCACGGGCTGCTAGTGGCCAACAACGAATATTTTTGCGGCCCAGCCAATATAACGGAATGTAAGGACGTTTTAATAAAAATTTCATAACTGAATTTTACAATATCCTGTTATACATAATTATTAATAACAAACTACAATGTTTGCTAATGACCGATTACTATAATCGTGTTGCATTCATTTCCCTTACGCACCTTATGTGCAGGCGCACCATTTCTCTCCACTAATACTAGCAGTGGATGTTTTAGCAGCCGATTGCCACATCATTAGTCTTGGACTAACTTGTTTGGTGTGCGCAACAGAAAATATTTTGCTTTTGGAGAACAAGAAAAATAGGTTTATTTGTGTTACGCTTATTGATTTGTGCAGTTATTCAGTGTCTGATAAGTTAATGTTGAAGAAAAAATATTAATTTTTATTAAAATGTTCTATTATTTTATGTTAATGATTACTCATTTATTTCAGCCCTTTGTATTCGGCATGTCTCTATCAAAATAAACCTACATTTCTATGAAAATTGAAGCTTTTGTTTTTGGGGGGCCCACATAAACGTAAACCTTGTTTATTTGGCCCGTGTTAGCCTTTGAGTTTGACATGCTTGTTGTAGGCAGTTAGACAGACATGAGAAGAACAAGGATCAGGTGCCTGGCCATGGACAATCAATTGTAAGGTGGGGCCTTGCCCCCAGGGTGACTTTTCCTCTTCTAGCTTATCTCTGGTCCTGCAGTTCGGACCCCCCAGACCTTTCCTCCCTAGAGATAACATCTAGGCCTCAGTTGTGTTTCAGCTCCAGGCCCAGAGAAGCAGCAAAACCAGCCACCTGACCTCAGGACCAGCTACACTAAATAATGACCCCCTGCCCTGGTGCCAGCCAATCAGTCAGTGGAGACCACACCCTGAAAGGACACACTGAGTATTCTATTGAGATCTTCTCCTGGGACCTCCTCTAAAATCTCCACCCTTAAAACCTTAGGATGGAGGACCCAGTGCCCTCTCCCTCTTGGGAGCACGCCCCTGCCTTTCCCTTTTCCTTCCCCCTTCCCCTCTCTCCCACCCCAGTCACCTTACCAGTAGCTTCCTCACTCCCAAGCTCCAAGGGCCCTTCCTTTATCT